AAACATCAATGATGAGAGTCATTGATCAGCTGCCTCCTGCACACCCACACTGGGGATCAAGGCCGAAACCTGAGCTGACCGAAATCAAAGTGACCTCCTGGTTCATAGGTTGATGCTCAACCACTGAGCCATGCCGGTGGTGCATTTGTTTTTCAAAGATCCTTCTAGATGCTCCCTGGAGAAGGGCTAGCAGGAATGGAAGGACTTAGAAGTCTGTTGCAATCATGGCAGAGATGGCAGTGGCTAATGTGGCACATGCTAGAAAGAAGAATCGAGGACATTCCCTGGCATGGGGCTTCAGTCTTGCTTTCATCTTAAGCAGTAACTGAGTTTACTTGTAAGGAAGTTTGAGTTTAGTTCCTTTTTTCATAAAATCACTAGCACTCTTCTCAGAAGCTTCTCTGTCTTTGAGGTCACTGCCTCCTCTCTGTCCCTATTTTCCCTCACTCTTGCTGGTGGGAATAGACTTCCCCCAGGTCACAGAGTTTCCCAGCCCCAAGTTTCTCCAAGACCATAGTTAGGACCCTGCTTCTAACGCGCCTCATAGAGGCCCCGGTCCCTGTGCCTTCCTGGCAGGGAACCAGCACTTGGCTAGGCGGGAACGTGGTGCTCACAGAGGGAGTGATTAAAGGACTTAATTCTCTAAGTAAATTCCACCTTTTGGCATCCCAGTGGATAATTTTAACTTACTGCTTTCTTAAATTTCATCAAATACCTCTTAAGAGTGCAGAAATCTGAATGTGGGCGGCTAGAGCTGACTGCCAAGATTCGAGGAGTAAACACTGACAGCCTCGGGGGTTTTGAGCCCTGAGCTTTTTTATTGGTTTTCATAAGGAGGTTTAAGGTGCAAGAAAAAGTACACAGGAGATGGAAACAGATCAAAGAGGATTAACGTGGTGAAGCCGCCCATGGGGGAGAGCAAAAGCTTCATCCAACTAAGAAAGTGGGAAAACATGTTAGCTGCCAAACTGGCAGCATCTGAGTTCCTGTGACTCTTATGACCTGGCAGGGGCATGTCCCCAGAGACCCCACCCTGGGGCACTGAGTGAGCACTGGCCTGAGACTGGGAGACCCTGGGTTTGTGCCCAGGCTCTGCCTCAAATTCTTATGGTGATTTTCAGGAAGCCACCTCTCTGAACCTGTAAGAAAGTACAATGGCACTTACCTAGCTACCTCTCAGGGCTGCTCAGCGATAATGAATTTGCTAATGTGCATAAATTTGCATGTGAATTGTAAAACTCTTTATGAACAAAGACATTATTCATATTGTTATTTATCTTCACCACTAAGAATTAAATATTCCAATAACCTCTTTGGCGTAATAAAACCGACACAGAGCATCCATTGTTTTATTACTCTTTTATTTATTTATTTATTTATTTATTTATTTATTTATTTAAAATATATTTTATTGATTTTTTACAGAGAGGAAGAGAGAGGGACAGAGAGCCAGAAACATCAATGAGAGAGAATCATTGATCAGCTGCCTCCTGCATACCCCCTACTGGGGATGTGCCTGCAACCAAGGTACATGCCCTTGACCGGAATCGAACCCGGGACCTTTCAGTCCGCAGGCCGACGCTTTATTCACTGAGCCAAACCAGTCTCGGCTTATTACTCTTTTATTGTGCTCACAGAGACCTGGCCGGACTCCCGATATAAATCAGATAAACCCAGGATAGAAAATGAACTGGGGGTTGCCCTGAACCCCCCAGGTTGGGGTAACAATAGCAGCTGGAACAATGGGCTCTTGGACAGACAAGTGCAGAGATTCTATGGGACAGCTCTCCTCTTCTTACCCACCCACCACCCGAGACTTGGGCACACAGATTCACACGGCCGTGTCCTCTGCTCCATCCTCTCCCCAGCAGGTCCCTAGGCTCTCTCGCCGCTCCTTGCTTCTCCAGAAAACACTTTCTAAACTTGCCTTAAGGTTGTTTCCTTTTTTCAATCCCTGTCTAGTTTGAATGACAGCTCTCCTGACATGTTTCTGCTTTGCCATTATTCTCTGAGCTGGAACCTACCTCACAGCCCAAATGCAGGTCCTTGTGTTGTGGCCTCAAACTCTGGCTCTGCCAGCTTCCAATCCAGACCCCCTCCTGGACATGTCCCCCAGCCCTGAGGTTGTCAAGGCCTCTCAGGACTATGAGAGAGAGCCTCTATCTCACTTATATACCTATTAGAGTGGCTACAGTAAGAACAGTGACACCACCAATGTAGGCAGGGACACAGAGAAACCACATTCGGAATGCACCAATCTGCATGGGTGATAAAGTGACATCAAACTACCCACACACATACCAGGGTCAGCATCCTGGCTCTGGCTTAGTGTTGACTGGCTTTTGGAAGTTTAACCACTTGTGGGCACAGGGAGAGAAACCTGATGCTGAATGGTTCCTCTAACAGTTGTACTCTACTGTGCTGAGTGTCCTGGGCAGAATAATGCCCCCAAGATGTCACCTCCTGGTCCTGGAACCTGTCAGTGTGACCTGATCCAGCACAAGGGACTCTGCAGAAGGGATTATGTTAAGGATATTGGGTGCGGTGGGGGCATGGGGGTGTGAGGGGAGGAGAGGGTGTGGCCCTGGATTATCCAGTTGGCCCTAAATCAGTCTGTCTCAGGTGCCTTAGGAGAGGGAGTGGAAGAGACTGAGTTAGAGAGCTGGGAGGTTTCCCAGTGTCTTGTCCTCAATGCCTGGTGCTGGCATTTTCACAGGCAAGGGCACGCTGTTACCCACATTTTGGTTTTACACTGTTTTGTGGTCAGGTTGATAAAGACGATTTGAATGCATCCTGTTATGCCACACTGCATTCATCTGGCCCCCATCCTGACAACCTAACCCACTGAGCCACCTGGATCCTGATTCTGCAGCCTGGTCTTCCTGCCTCCTCCTGGCTTTGGGTCTAAGACATGAGCTGCATGTGTCATCCAGGATGCTGACAAGAGGGTGCCCAAGGGGGGCATGCATTGGGCACCTGGCAGGCTGTCCACTGGGCACAGGCACAGGCAGCACCAGAGCACTTTACTGCGGGTCCCTCCCTCGGCCCACGGGCTATCACTCAATGCTAAGCCCAACAACCTAATCACTTATTTAGACATCTCCCTAGGCATAGGTCACACTCACTGGTCTGGAGTTTATGGAATTCTGTCTCCCTCCCTTTGCTCAGATGACTCTTCTACAGGCTTTTCTGTAATCGCCAGGGTCCAGGTGTGCACATTGTTGCAAACCTGGGAACATCAGTCTCTTATTTATCATCTCCCAGTGAGTGAATGGTACATCGGTATCCTTGGCTCCTGGCACAGAATCTGCTCCATTTAGAAACTTCTGAGTGTAAGGCCCATCCATGTCTTCCCAGAAGACCCCAAATGGGATTTTGTGGTTGTATTTGATCTCAAGCTGACAATGCCACTTCTTTTCTCGGAACATTTATCATGTCTCATGAGGCAATGATTTAAGACCATCCATCACTCACACCTCAGAGCCAGAACAGAAGCTGCAATACTGGAGGGCTCTGGATGTGACCAATTTCCATTCAAACTGGAGATTTCCTCACTGTGGACATGGTACTAAGCACACACGCCTGTCATTTTCTGCCTTGGGGCCATCTATTCTTTTATTATTACTATGTTTCATCCTGGTTTTTCCAGGTGAGCCAGAGTAACGTCATTGTTGGAAAAGAACAAATTTCCAGAAGCAGCCCCAAACCCTCTAGCTGCACAAGGAGACAGTGTTCACTCGGGGACCTGCAGAACAGCAACCCTTTCTCCCCAGGATTACTGGCAGTGACAGCCTGAGGGCACCATAAATCTGAAACACCATCTGTCTGGGGAGGGAGCATGGCCTGTAAATGCTAAGGCCATGAATGGGGGCAATTTCCGGAGCAAGTCTCTTCCTGTCATGCAAGGTTAACATTTGTTCAGCCTTCAGTGTTTGCCAACTCGGATCTGTCACCTCAAGGAGCCTCCCAGACCTGGAAGCTTCTCCACTTCGTAGTGATGCAAACGTGGACACCTGCAGTGCCTGGGTCTGGGTGTAATCTCATTGGGTTGACTCCTCTGAACTGCTTTATTCAGACGACCAGCCCTTGTTAAAACTGTCCTCCTGCCTCTGGGGAGGATGAAGGGTTGTGGGGGTCTCTGCTGCTGAGCTGAAAGGCGGAGCTGCAAGGCTATAGGGAGGTGCCTTGGTCTGTCCAGTCTTACCTTCCTTCCTCTAGGTTGGGAGGGCTCATGTATGAAGGGACCACGCAGGTGAGTCCACAGGTGGTGCCACACAGAGTCTGTGTGAATAGGGAACTGACTTTGTGTGTGTATTTCTGTTTATGGTCGGGACAAGAGAAGCTTAAGAAGCCAAAGAGAAATTACAGTCCTGGTCAAGGAGACCAACTCAGTGGAGAAGGACTGCTGCTGCGTGCTAACCACGGCCGCTACCCACTGCCAGCCCTGAAACTGATGCGGGAGCACCACTGGGTGCTGGCAGAGGATGCGCCTGTGCCTTCGATCCCCCCAGATCTGCCTTGCCCGAGCAGTGGGGTCCATTCTCTTTGTTGTACATCATTATATGATATACTGTCCTCCTTCTAAACCCCTCTACCGAACCCCAGAGCAGCCCTCTGTGCCTGAGTTAACGGTCCACGTGAAAAAATGATAAACAGGAAGGACCCTCTCTACAGGGGATGCAGAGTGCACCAGGTCTCCCAGGGGTCCCCTCGGATACCCCTAGAGCCTCTCCAAGGTGGGCCTTGCTGCGAGCCCTGCACCCTGGGAGAGGTCGCTGGGCGCCGGTGGGGAGGCTGACCAGTGCAGCGAGCGCAGAGGGTGCACACCAGGCCTCATGGACACTAGATGCCAACATCAGGCACCGAACACCAGAGCGAGAGGTAAAGTAAAGGGGCCGGGCACCATCTGTGACCCGCCCCTTCGGCCCGACTAGGCTCCGCCTCTTCCTCCCCCAGCCTCGCCTCCTCTGCGCAGACCCCGCCTCCCCCGCCGGCTCCACCCCTTTCCCCCCGGGCAGCCCGCCCTCCCCCGGGACCCCTTCTGGCTGCACAGCGCGCGCGCCCGGGTTCACTACACGTGGGAGCGCAACACGCCTCCCGCAATGCAGCGCGCGCCCCGGTGCCGCGCCGTGCGCGCCTTGCTGCGGGGCCGCTACCGGGAGGTGCTGCCGCTGGACACCTTCGTGCGGCGCCTGGGTCCCCAGGGCCGGTGCCTCGTGCAGCCGGGGGACCCGATGGCCTTTCGCGCCATGGTGGCCCAGTGCCTGGTGTGTGTGCCCTGGGGCGCGCAGCCAACCCCCGTCGCCCCGGACTTCCGCCAGGTGGGCTTCCCGGGGACTCCAGTCGGGCCTGGGAGGGGGGGGGGGGCGAGGGACGGAGGACGCCGTCGCAGCCCTAATGCTCCCGGGCACCTCCATCCGTCCCGCAGGTGTCCTGCCTCAAGGAGCTGGTGGCCAGGGTCGTGCAGCGGCTCTGCGAGCGCGGCGCGAGGAACGTGCTGACCTTCGGCTTCGCGCTGCTGGACGGGGCCCGCGGCGGCCCGCCCGTGGCCTTCACCACCAACGTGCGCAGCTACCTGCCCAACACGGTGACCGAGACGCTGCGCGGCAGCGGGGCCTGGGGGCTGCTGCTGCGCCGTGTGGGGGACGACGTGCTCGCACACCTGCTGGCGCGCTGCGCGCTCTACCTGCTAGTGCCCCCCAACTGTGCCTACCAGGTGTGCGGGCCGCCCCTCTACGACCTCTGCACCCCAAGACACGCGGGCCGGACCCTGGCGGGCCTGGGACCCACGCGCCAGGCCTGGAATGGCGGAGGTGGCGGAGTGGCCGAGGTACCCCCCGGCTGCCGAACAAGGCGGCGGCGGCGGCGGCGGCGGAGCAGCGCAGGGGGAAGTCCGCCTCCGGCCAAGAGGCCCAGGCGTGGCCCAATCCCAGAGCCATGCCGGGGCCCAGGCGCCAGCGATCCCCGCCTGGTGACACCCGCCAGAGCCACCGCGGAAGCCTCGCCTGGGGAGGGAGAGCGGAGCAGGCCCGGGGGTCACTCACCGTTGCGGGGCCGCGAGCGGGAGGCCAGCTGCCCTTTCTCCCGGCCCTCCTGGCCCCAGGCCGCACCTGGTCCACGAGTGGTCGCTGAGACCAGGCAGTTTCTCTACTGCTCCGGTGGCAAGGAACAGCTGCGCTCCTCCTTCCTGCTCAGCTCTCTGCAGCCCAGCCTGACGGGGGCCCGGAGGCTAGTGGAAACCATCTTTCTGGACTGGAAGCCCCTGCAGCGGGGGGCTCCCCGCAGGACGCGCCGCCTCCCCGCGCGTTACTGGCGGATGAGGCCCCTGTTCCAGGAGCTGCTGGGGAACCACGCGCGATGCCCCTACGGCGCGCTGCTCCGGGAGCACTGCCCGCTGCGGGACCAGGCCACTCCGGCCACCCCAGCGGCGGCGGCGGAGGAGGCGGCCGTGGGGTCCAGCAAACTGGGGTGCAGTGCAGTGGGCATCAGAGCCCCGGAGGAGGACACTGGCCCGCCGCGCTTGGTCCAGCTGCTCCGCCAGCACAGCAGCCCTAAGCAGGTGTACGCGCTGCTGCGGGCCTGTCTTCGCAGGCTGGTGCCTGCACGCCTCTGGGGCTCCAGGCACAACGAGCACCGATTCTTGAAGAACGTGAAGAAATTCATCTCCCTGGGGAAGTTCGCCAAGTTCCTGAGTCAGGAGCTGACCTGGAAAATGAAAGTGCAGGACTGCGCCTGGCTGTGCCAAAGCCCAGGTGAGGAGGTGGGTGCCAGGGCCCTGCAAGCCCAGGCCCCTTAAACACAATATGGTAGTGCCCCTCCTTCCCTTATCCCCCCACCCCTTGCTTCTTGGTGCTGCAGAATGGCTGTTTGGTTTCTCTGCCTCTGATCCGCTCTCCCACCCAGTTTGCATCAACCTACACGACTTTTCACGGACACTGGCAGGTTCTGGGTGCTGGGAATGGGCAGTAAGCACCTGGAGCATGAGGAGTAGGGCTATGGCAACAGGATGGAAGCATCCAGAAGCTCCCCTGAGTGTCCCAAAAGTTAATTTGTAATCACCTTTTTGACATTCATTTTTATTACCATGAAATAGTGCCCGGCTGAAACAGGTTGGGAATAGAATCAATTTATATATATATATTGATTTCAGAGAGGAAGGAGAGGGAGAGAGAGATAGAAACATCAATGATGAGAGAGAATCATTGATTGGCTGTCTCCTGCACACCCCCTACTGATCAAGCCTGCAACTCAGGCATATCATATGCCTTTGACCAGGATCAAACCAGCCACCCTTCAGTCCACAGGCCATCACTCTATCCACTGAGCCAAGCCGGCTAGGGCCAGAATCCACTTTTGCTGGGGGATGGGAGATAAAGCTCTGGCTTCCCAGATGCAGCTGGTCAGCCAATACACAGATCCCAACCTAAGTTTCAGTTGTGCAGCTGCTATGCCAGGGCAGGGCAGCTGGCTGAGTGAAAAGACTGTCCTGCACAAGAACCCTCCCCATCTTTAGGAAGGAAAGGGTCCCCAGGGAGCAGCAGGACGCTCCTGTCAGGGAAGTGGATGGCTGCAATGGGCACTTCGGGGAGTTTTCTGCCAACCTGGCCTAGCTCTCCCCCCAGCCCTTTGGTTCTCTGGGCGTGACAATGAGGTCTCTCCAGTCCAGCCGCCACTCAGCCCCCTCTTGGCCAGTGTCCTCTTCGCTGCACACCAGCCACCTTCCCTGCCCTCCTGACAGAGTAGAAGCAGTGAGAACAGACCCAAGTTTTGCTATACTTGATCTCCCCCAACACCCAAGACATTTAGGACTTTAAAAGAAAGATGGTTCAGAGCCTTCTGTTACAGCCAGATGCATGTTACAGCTTTCTGGGGTGCGGAGCCTTAAAAATGCCCATCTCCATCCCCAGAGATCCCAATTACAGTGGTTTCCTACAGGGAGGCAGAGGGGTACACCTTCTCAAACTCCCAAGAGATGCCAGGACCAGCTGATTCAGACAGCAAGGTGACCTTCCAGCAATTGTTTTTTTTTTTGTTGTTTTGTTTTTATTCTAATTGTGGGAAACGCCACATAACATGCAATCTACCTCTTAACCACTTGCATGTACAGGACAACAGTGCTGAGTGTAAGAGGGCTGCACAGCAGATCTCTAGTACTTGTTCATACTGTGTGACTCGTATACCCACAGACCACCTGGAGCGGAGTGGGTGACCCTCAGGTGCGTCAGACTCAGTTGAGTTAGCTGACACACACTCACTGTACTTGGGGCTTCAGCTTGCCTTGTGAAAGGAGAGTTTGACTTCTGTGACTCTGTTTCCCAATTTCCAATGAGGCCTTGCTCCACCATGGTGTTCTCCCAGGCAGCTGGGACCTCTGCAGCATCCTTGCTCACTCAAGCTATACCCTAGGCTAGGGGTGTCGAACTCAATCAGAGAAGGGGCCAAAATCTAAAATCCAGCCTAAATCGCGGGCCGAATGGTTTACTGAACAGTCATAAACTGTCATTGTGATGGAAACGCAGTGGAGTGCAGTGATGACAGCGCGGTGCGGGCCACATTGCAAGGCCTGGTGGGACGGATTTGGCCCGCGGGCCTTGTGTTTGACACATGTGCCCTAGGCATTTGTTTCTTTCTGTGGCTGGGCCATGACAGCTGCCCACTGGCTGAATAAATGATGTACGGACAGCCAGCCTTGGCCTCTGAGCCACCTCTCCAGTCACGGCTGTCCATGGTCACCTCTTCCCCCCTCTCCTGCTGCGACACCCCTTTCTCTGTGCTGGCTTTCTGCTCTGCCAGGCGCTCTGTTCACAGCATCCAACTCCTTTGCTTCTGTCTAGCCAACTTTGACCATTGTCCCACCTGCCTGGTCCCCAGCCTTGGAGGCCAGACTGCCAGCTGACCGCATCTGCCGCATTGTTTAGAGACATCACAAGACAGGTTCCTGATGGAAACTCAGGAGCTGCCATGGCTCCTTGCTTAATTACTCGGTCTCCCTGGGCTGTCTTATCCTTGGGCTGGTGGCAACCCCTGCCCCTAACCTGGGCATACACTGCTGCTGGCTTAGGTTGTGCTCTGCCTCTAACTCCCATCCGACCACACCATCACTTCTCCTGAACTACCATCCAAGTACGTCCCTCCTGTAGAGGCCACCTTTCCCTTCAGGGCAGAGTCTGGGCGGGGCCTTTACCAGACCTTTGTTTTGAATTCTGTTAGTTGTATCCTTCCTCTGCTCTCATCTTCTGACCTCTCAGGTGGATGTCTGGTGGTGCCTTCCCTTGGTCCTGCTCAGCTGCCTGTGTTCTGAAGTGTTATTCACACCTTTATATCAACTGCATTTAAGTATTTTGTAGTTTTTATCATTTCTTCTTTGATCAGTGAGTTCTTTCGACATACGTTTTGGATTTTTCAAATGAGTGGATATGTTATCTTTTTGGTTACTGATTTCCAACTCAGGCGTGTCGTGGTCTGAGTGACCTGAACTATTTGAAACTTGCTTTGTCATCTCATTGACAGACTTCACCAGTGTTCCTTGTGTCCTAGAGGCCCGCTTGGTGGCTGTGTTCACGGTGTCGGCTTGTTACGTGCTGTGGGAAACTGTGTCCTTCCCGGGGCCCCGTGCTGAGCGGCACTTGTTTCATTGGGCGGTTTGTCCAGCTTCTCGTGTTCTGACAGTGTTTGCGTGGTTTTATCAGGCACAGCATGTTTGAGAAGTTTTATCTTCCTGATGTGTGTCTACTAATTTTTTTGCCGTAAAGTCTGTCAGAACAGCTTAGAGAACATCTGCACTGGCTTCTTTTTGGTTAGCATTTACCTCATATCATTTGTCATTATTTGATTTTTATTTTCAACCTTTTTATATCTCCATAATTTAGATGTGTCTTCTTAATAGCCTGTGACTGACATTTTAAGTTTAGTTTGATCCAATGTGAGACTTTGCCACATTCCTATAGAATCTGATTAGTAGTTTTCATTTCTCTATAATTATATAGTTGTGTCTACATGTTTTTCTTTGTCATTTGCCTGCCTTTTCCATGTCCTTACTCCTCATTCTGGTTTTGCCTTCCAGTAGCTAGAAATTATACGCTCCATTCTCTTTCCTCAGTGGTTTTCCTTCTCCTGAGCAACATAAGGGCCTTAGCATATTTTAATCTGGTCCCACCCCTACCTATATGTGCTTTCGCACTGGCCTGGTTATGTCCCAGATTAGACACTGTTACTGTTTCCCACGGTTATTGTACATTCAGCTCTGTCCCCACCCCGTTGTTCCCCATCCTATCTTCTGTCCCACACCTGCCTCTGGGTCCCTGTCCTTCTCCTTTACATGTTTCCATCTGTGCCATGGCCCTTGTGGCAGCCGGGTGACACTGTGGACCTCTTCGCACGAAGTCTCACAGAATAAAATGCAGAGGACCACAGAGGAGGACAGCAGCGCTGGTGCGTGTTTGGTTTCACAGCACGTGGCATCCCTTAGCTGGGTGTGACAGCCACCACTCACCTGTTGTCCGGCCTGGAGAACCCCAGGCATTTCTGGATCTAGCAGCTCAGTGAAGATCCCTCAAGCCATACACACCAACACGTGACTGTGCATGATGGGCCATGCAGGTGGGGTGAGCATGTGCCTCTCAATCCAGGTGGTCGCTGTGTCCCAGCCACGGAACACCGACTGAGAGAAGCGGTCCTGGCCAAGTTCCTGTGCTGGCTGATGGGCACGTACGTGGTTGAGCTGCTAAAGTCGTTTTTTTATGTCACGGAGACCACATTTCAGAAGAACCAGCTCTTCTTTTTCCGGAAGAGCGTCTGGAGCCAGTTGCAAAGCATTGGAATCAGGTATCACAGTCAGAGGGTCGCGTCACCCGTTTCTTCCCATCTGCAGACACAGCCCTGGCTCCTGCTCCGGGTTCCCTGTGCCCCCACCTCGGGGTCCCCACCCAGCTACTCCAGAGGCTGTCTTAGCCCACAGGGGTCTTGGCTGGCATGCACTCCTGGAGCGCCTCTTTCCTTGCCTGTAGCTAGGTCAGTGGTTGGCAAACTCATTAGTCAACAGACCCAAATATCAACAGTACAACAATTGAAATTTCTTTTGAGAGCCAAGTTTTTTAAACTTAAACTTCTTCTAACGCCACTTCTTCAAAATAGATTCTCCCAGGCCGTGGTGTTTTGTGGAAGAGCCAACTCAAGGGGCCAAAGAGCCACATGTGGCTCGAGAGCCGCAGTTTGCCGACCATGGAGCTAGGTAATCTGTAGGGTCTCGAAAGCAGGAACAATAGTGCAAGCAAACCACTTATCCCTGGCGTGTGGTTTCTATTTTAATTTGCACAGAATAAGTGGGATTTGTGTCACAGGATAAACCTGCCTGCTTAACAACTCACTGTGGGAAGTGTCTGGAGTCAGAGGTGTCTGATGTCAGGCAGGACCCTGAGATGGAAACTTCCAGAAGGTCAGCTCACCTCTGAGAGGGTTTGTCTTAGCTGCTCAGTGGCTGTTTCTGGTACAGTGTGTAGGACTGTGACAGGTGTGGGCTGGATTGGAATCCTTAAGGGTTAGGGGTATGACAGCCCGACACACAAGCTTTCCTCCTCTCTGCCACCAGCCTGGCCGAGGGCTTGGCGAGGACCAGAGCAGGGCTCCCGGACTCCCGGGCTCCATGCACATTTGGGTCAAACCCAAGCCTGGACCACACATCTCTGAAGGGAGGCAGCAACTCCTGAACCAGGGCCCAGGCCCAATCCTGCAGCTGGGAGAGGGTCTGGAAGCCCTTATCATGGGTCTGAGGAGGTACACAGTGCATCCTGTTTAATAATTTAAAAGTTCATGACATATGATCCCAAGTGGTCTCTTTTACCCTCCCTGTGGGGACCATCCACTTGCCTGTTGGGCATTCAAGTGCCTCCAACCTCCCTTCACCACCAGGACCACACTCAGGGAGCATTCTTAACCTCTGCCTCTCCCAGAGGAGGTTTCAGGGGAAAGGCCAGCAGGGAGCTGGGGGTCCCTGGAGAGTCATTTCCGACCCTTGTGAGGTTGCACCAAGTAGGCCCTCCCCCACATTCCTTGTGGCAAAACATGGGGCCTTTTTCCAGGGGTCCCATCCCATCCCAGCCGCACTAGCCAGGGCTCTGGGGCCCCAGCGCAGAGGGCACTTCAGCAGTGTCTGGCCATGGTGTCAGTGCGGCCTCCTGGACACAGCACCTCTGCAGGTCGACCACCTGGTTCCTGTGTGGCTGCCGAGCCACCTCTCATGAGGTTCTGTTTCAGACAACACTTCGATAGGGTGCAGCTTCGAGAGCTGTCGGTAGCCGAGGTCAAGCAAAACCAGGAAGCCAGACCTGCTCTCCTGATGTCCAGACTCCGCTTCCTCCCCAAGCCCCGCGGGCTGCGGCCGATCGTGAACATGGACTACGTCGTGGGAGCCAGAGCATTCCATGAGGACAAGAAGGTCACCACCTTTGTTTCATTTTTTAAGCAAACAGCATTCAGCCTCAGGCCTGGTGTCCATGTAGACAGGCCGAGGGCCCCAGGGTGTCATGGGTGGGCCATACTCTTGTGTCTCGGGAGGAGCTTACAGGCAGGCCAGTCCTAGAAGCCGCTGCACAGGCTCCAAGACCCCACAAGGTTCCCATGACGTGGACCTGTGACACGTGGGACTGACCTAGTGCCCATGGTTCTGCCGTGGCACTGGGATGCACGCTTTCCGAGATGCAGGGACGAAAGGAACTGGGCCATTTAGCCTACGGGTTCCTGGACCCTGTAGGCCCCCACCCTGTGATTAGCATCCCTTTCCACCTATGGCATCTCTGTCACCAGCAGTTCTGACCCCTTCCAAGTGCCTTTGGGGCTGATTTTGTTATTGGTGTTCCCCCTCCCCCAAAAGGAAGTGGAACTGTTGACGTGGATCAGGGGTCTGGTTTGGTCTGTGAGTGCAGATGATGAACCCCTCATCTAGGGTGGGGAGGGGGCCAGGTGGGAGAGATGGCCCTGTGTGTTGCCACTTGTTTTTTTATACCATGTTTCTGGGAATTCTGGGGTGGGTCTCTGGGGATGCCCCGGAGTCTGGAGTGGGCGTGGGTGGGTTGTCTATCTGGCCCTTCCACCTGAGGGAAGCTGGGTGGGCAGGGGGATGCCGAAGCAGAGCTGCCCCTCATCACTGGGCCCAGAGGTGGAGGGGGCCATTGTGCTCTGAATCCCCTTGGCTGGGGGCCTCCTATGACCCTGCCGCCATCCCGACTGGCCCTGCAGGTGCAGCATCTCACCTCCAAAGTCAAGACGCTGTTCAGCGTGCTGAACTATGAGCGAGAGCAGCGCCCTGGCCTCCTGGGCGCCTCGGTGCTGGGCATGGACGACATCCATAGGGCCTGGCGTGCCTTCGTGCTGCGCATGCGGGCCCAGGACCCAGTGCCTCAGCTGTACTTCGTCAAGGTGGGTGTCCCCTCCCTTCCCATTGAGCCCACTCAGCACCCTTAGGCTCGCCCACTGGGTGACTCCGCATCATGGGCCCTGGCCAGAGCCTGCAGTGTGGCTGGCTTTTTCAGGGCCTGTGTCTGCCAGGGTGAGGTCCCTGTGGTGGAGCTGCAGCCTTGGGAGCGAGAGGGCCGGGGACCCAGGAAGGAAGATGCTCCATTTGGGAGCCTCTGACTCCCAGGGCAGAAGCTTTGAGCCTTCCTTGTGGGCATGGACTCTGCAGTTCTGCACCCCAACTCCACAGTGGCCCCTACTCTTGGGGAGAATATGACACTGCACCTGCTCAGGGTGTTGGGAGATCCCCTTCTGAGAAGGCAATGCTCCAGGCTCAGCTCACAAAGCTGGGGTGCCTTAGCACCCCGGTCATCTGCCAGGGACCTGCTGTTCATCTGCCTGCACTCAGAAAGGAACACAGGTCCACCATGGGTGTCACAGTCTGGGGTGTGGAGAGAGGGACTCAGAGTCACCCTGGGGTACTCAGTCTGGTGGATGTGGGGATGTCTCAGCAAGAGCTCCATAGTGGGATGGGTGTGTATGCCTGGGATGGGGCTCTGGGAAGGGTGTTCAGGGGCTCCTATCACTCCAGGGTTTTCTAAGGACAGGCTGGGGCCCCAGCTTGGCAGAGCAGAAGGGGTGGGAGCCAGGACACGGGGCCAAGGTGAGTGTGAGCAGCCTATAAACGCACCTCTATCCGTGCAGGTGGACGTGATGGGTGCGTACGACGCCCTCCCTCAGGACAGGCTGGTGGAGGTGATCGCCAACGTGATCAAGCCCCAAGAGCACACATACTGCCTGCGCCAGTACGCTGTGGTCCAGAGAACTGCCCATGGACGCGTCCGGAAGTCCTTCAAAAGACACGTAAGGCCTGTGGGTGTGTGCCATGAGGAGGTGTGTCCATGACATGGATGCCTGCCCCTGCGGTCCATCCCTCCCCCATGGGCCCTGAGCCCCACTTCCTGAGCTCCCATCCTGGGAGGTGCCTCCATCCTTGTCATCCTCATACTCTTGTTCATGTCACAGTCAATTCTCTCTTCAAGCCACTCCTGCCTGCTGTGCCTTCCCAGGGCACCAGAATTGTGTGAGGAGGTGGCAGCACAGCCATGGTGTGCTTCTTGGTGTCCCGTGGCTGCCCCCTGGTAGGAGAGCCCAAGACACACCTGTGGCTCCTCAGTGGGACCAGGTGCTTCATGGCTGGCGCTGTGCTGGCTCTGTGAGGAGAGGGCCAGAGGGCACCTCACCCAGGACACCTGGGCCTCGCTCACCATTCTGCCTTCCAGGTGGGGCCAAGGGTCCTAGGTGCCACTCCCTGCAGCGGCCAGCGGCCTGAGGCCTCAGTGGTGCAGGGAAAGGACAGTTGGAGTTCAGGTTGCACTTGAGGCCCAGTCGGCATATGGGAATTTCTGAGCAATTGTCATGAGCATGTTGGAGTGTGAGGGCACCCAACCTTCTAAACCTGTGTCTTGGGAAGGCAGGAATGTGCAGAGAGTTCCCCCAGAAATTCTTGGGAAAGGCATACCTGCACACCCCTGGGCAAGTCAGGTGAGTGTGGGTTGCAGATCCAGAGTGGAAAACACAGTGAGATTGTACATTTGTGGACAGATGGCGCCACCACCTGTATCAAAGGATAGAAAGCCACCAGCAGCCACGAGCCTCCCCCTTTCTCTCCAGGTGCCTGCCGCTCTGACCTCCCTCATGCAGACTCTCTTACCTGTCTCTAATTCCGTGAATGTGGATTATACGGATCGCCCTTCCTGTCTGGTTCCCATTGCTCCCCAGTGGGTCTGAGAAGCAGCTGGGGCCCCGGGAGCAGCTGCCATTCACCTCGCCCGGGGCGTGTTCCTGTGCCCACACCGCTCTCCGCCGCTGGCGGGCCTTTGCTAGTTCCGAGTGGGGACGTTTGAACGCTGCTGAGAGCATTACTGCGATGTGTCATTTGGTGGATTCGGGTGGAGATGCCAGGCCACAGGCGCGCTTTGTGCAGTCTTAGACATCACCAAAGGGTGTTCCTGAGTGGCCTGTGCCACAGTGGCCATGAAGCACTGGCCACGGGTCAGGCCTGGGCTCTGGGGGCCAGCCACGGGGACACCAAAATACGGGAGGGCCAGGCATGCTCCTGCTCACACACTTGCAAGTGTCAGCACTTGGGGGGTGGGGGTGGAGGTAGCCCGAATTCCCGGAGGGTGGGCACAGCGTCTTGAAGGGTCTTTTTTTTTTTTTTTTTTTTAAATATATTTTATTGATTTTTTACAGAGAGGAAGGGAGAGAGAGATAGAGAGCTAGAAACGTCGATCAGAGAGAAACATCGACCTGCTGCCTCTTGCACACCCCCTACCGGGGATGTGCCTGCAACCAATGTACATGCTCTTGACCGGAATCGAACCCGGGACCTTTCAGTCCGCAGACCGACACTCTACCACTGAGCCAAACCGGTTTCGGCTTGAAGGGTCTTGACTTGCATTCCCAGTGACCTTTCTTCCACCCTTCACGTGGACATTTCTTGCATGAATGCCTGTTCAAGTCCTCTCCTCACTCTCTGACGGGCTATCTTTGTTGTTGACTTACAGGTGAAATTTGTATGTTCTGAGTACGAGTCCTCTGTCAGGTGTCTGCCTTGGTTTGTCTCGCCTTTTTAGTTGCAAGGGGAGTCTTGATGATGAGAAATTTTTAATTTTAAAGAAGTCTTTATCCATCGTTTTTGGCTGAAACTGTGTTCTGTTTTAGAAACCTACCCCTTCTTCTTTTCTTTTTTTAAACATATTTATTGATTTTTTACAGAGAGGAAGGGAGAGGGGTAAAGAGTTGAAAATATCAATCAGCTGCCTCCTGCACACTTCCTACTGAAGATGTGCCCGCAACCAAGGTACATGCCCTTGACCGGGATGGAACCTGGGACCCTTCAGTCCGCAGGCCTACGCTCTATCCACTGAGCCAAACATGTCAGGGCTGCCCCTTCTTTCTTATACATGTGTTTTCCTTCAAGATGTTTATTGTTTCTGCTTTCTCATTTAGGTGTTGGGTCCATTTTGAATTAGTTTTTGTATATGGTATTTTTAAACTGCTCTGTTTCTGCTTAAATCCAAATTTCTCGTAAACCTGCTTCCAGTTCACTAATCTTTTTCTGTCTCTAATCTTTAGTTAAACCCACTTACTGAATTCTTAAGTCCAGCAATCCTGTTTTTCAGTTTTAGAAATCCCATGTGAATTTTCTCATACATCCCAAGTCTCTGGTAAAATGCCCCGTCTTCTCCCCTATTTTATTGACTCTGTCATCTTTACTGATTTTTAAATTCCATAACTCAGTAACCACCCTGCCCATAATGGGCTCTGATGGATCGTGCCTCTTTCTGCTATTTCACTTGTGATTTGGTTACACAGGCTTGTTCTTCGGCACGCCTCACTTTGTTTTTCATGAGATGCCAGACTTTTCAGTTAAAGAATGTAAAACATGGGTTTTTACACAATGTTTTTCTTCGGGGAGGATAATATTTTCCTGAAAGTTGGAGTAGTGAATGGCCTTAGTCCTGCAAGGGTCGTCTTTACACTGTGGGCTGGTCTCCTTCATGTTCTCCGTTGCTGGCTGTGGCCTTCTGCTTCTCACCTGAGAGCAGGTGTGCAGGCCTTGGTGGGCCTGGGCTCCTCTCAACTCCCTCTACCCCCGGTGGCTGCTAGGACCACGCTCAGCTCCGGCTTCTGCCAGGTTCCCTGCAATCTCCCAGGAGTGCCTGATGCTGGGGGTTGGTGAGGATTGAAGAATAAATCACTCACAGTTTTGACTCCTTTGTCTGCAGCCCCCTTCTCCCAGCACCTGACCCTCAATCCCAGTTGCTTTGATGGCTCTGAACCCTAAGTGTTTTCAGTCATAGCCTTCCACTTTTTGCTTAAGCTCCACCTCCTTGGATTAGACGGGCCTCAGAGAGATTGTGGGATGCACCTAGGACTGGTCCACCTGCTTCCTGCCTCTCCAGCACCCCCCAAGAAACTTCCTTCTGTACTCTACCAGCACAGTAGTCATGGGGGAGGTGACTGCGTGACGTCCTGTGACTTTGTGGCACTCTCCTCTCCCTGCATCTCCGTCCTCCTTTTCCTGAACACAGGCTGCTCCGCGGGGCGTCCTTGGATTCCTCCCAGTCCCGACTTAGTCTTCCTTGCTGTGACTTCTGCTTGTCGATGTCGAGGCCAGGGCCCGGGAGGGAGGCGCCCACCTGCCTCACACCTGTCCACTTTGCCGGCAGGTGTCCACCTTCACAGACCTCCAGCCTTACATGAAACAGTTTGTGCAGCAGCTGCAGAAGACGAGCTCGCTGAGGGATGCCGTGGTCATCGAGCAGGTAGGTGTGGGCAGATGGCAAGGCCACCCTCAGGCAGCAGACACTTGCTGTGCCTTCAGCCATATTTCTCTTTTTGCACCTCACTGCATTCTGTGCTACTGTCCAACTGCTTTAAGTTTTGCTAGAGATGTCTTCTCCCTCAGTTTTGATCTTGAGGCCAGAAGAAAACGTGCCCCTGTGCTATGGGAAGACACATTAGATTTGACCCCTCAGGTGGGAAACCCAGGTTTCGTGTGCCTGCACAGGGACTGCTCCTGAGTTTGTGGCTTTCGGTTGAGTCAGTCCTCCAAGTATGGTCTGAGCCCTCTGGATGGATGCCTTTCCTGTGGCCTCAGGGCCCCACCATGTGCCACAGAGTCAGTGTGTGTGTGGCACAAGCCGTCTGGGCCAGCGGTCCTGGGTCTGAGCCCAGCCAGAGCCACGATGACCCACGCTGTTCCTGCTCGTCCACTACCACCCACCCCTTCTTCCCCCTGTGTATCCTGCTCACCCACGTGCGCCTCCCACTTGCCGTTCCAGAGCTGCTCCCTGAATGAGGCCAGCAGTGGCCTGTTCGATGTCTTCCTGCGCCTGGTGTACAACCACATCATAAGGATCGGGGGCAAGTGAGTCAGGGCTACCTGCTGCACATTGGTAGAGAGTCATGCCCCATGTGGAAGGTCCATGGCAGAACTTTGCGGGCGGGTGTGTAATCTGTGTTCTCTCTGTGTATGGTGTATGCATGTTTATGTGCTCTAAACAACGTGTCTGCATGTTTGTGTGGTCTGCATGCATGAATGTGATATGAACATGTGCTCCACCCTTCTGCCCACATCTCCCCCCAGGTTTTACATCCAGTGTCAGGGGATCCCCCAGGGCTCCATCCTGTCCACCCTGCTGTGCAGCTTGTGCTACGGAGACATGGAGAGCAGGGTGTTCCCTGGACTTCAGCAGGATGGGTAAGAGGTTCCTTGTCATTGTGCCCTGGATTGCTTTCGCCCCCTCCCATGCCCTGGCGCAGACAGGGCTGCCCTTTCTTCACGGAGGTTTCACAGGAGGAGGTGAGCAGGCCTCAGACGTAGGCTGCGTGGCTCCCAGTGCACCGGGGAACGAGGCGTTTCCAGAGGACCCAGCTGGTGGCTGTGCTGTCGTGATCGCGGGGCCACTGCCCCCTGTCCCCAGCCCCCAGCCAGTACCGAGTCGCACAGATTACTTTGTTCTCGTGCATGTGAGCTCGTATTTAACTCCCTTCCTCGGGCCTCTTTCCCTACCAGGGTGCTCCTGCGTTTAGTGGACGACTTCTTGCTGGTCACGCCTCACCTGACACAAGCGAAGGCCTTTCTCAGGTAAGGGTCTGCACACTTGTGTCTCGGCAGATGCTTCTGTGGCCTCCTGCTGCTGACCTTGCTTGTATCAGAAGTAGTTCTCACCTTGTGCTCAAGCCTCTCACGGCATCCCAGCCTCCCGCTGAGGGCACGTGGCACAGTTGTGCGGGTCTGAGGCCCCAGGCGTACAGCGCAGAAGCCTGGAGCTGAACGTGTGGCACCAAACACATGTATCCCCAGAGTGGACACAACTGGCCATTGCAGAGAGGACCTGTGTCCTCCATGGGCCCTGCCTGCCCTCCCATCTGGCCCGTCTCAGTGCTCAGCCTGGAGCCTGAGCTCTTTGCTCACCTGTCTTAGTTGTGAGCAGGGTCATGTGGCACCTACTTAGCCTTCAGGACTCAGCCTTGTGTTTCCCTCCCCCGCTGCCGGCCTCTGCCCTCCTGGCAGCCACCCTGCTCTTTGATTGTTGGCACTGGTCATCCAGAGCCTTTGGAAATAGCACCTGGAGGCCCACAGGATCAGTGTGGCCTCCCTTCGAGTGCTTCTGAGACCCGGGGTGGCATCCCTCTCCTTCCGGTGGCTGAAGTGGCCTGTCTGCTTCAGGACCCTGTCCAGGGGAGTGCCTGAGTACGGCTGCAAGGCGAACTTGCGGAAGACGGTAGTGAACTTCCCCCTGGAAGACGATGCCCTGGGCAGCACGGCCCCCCTGCAGCTGCCGACCCACTGCCTGTTCCCCTGGTGTGGCTTGCTGCTGGACACGCGGACCCTGGAGGTGTTCTGTGACTACTCCAGGTGAGTGCGCCTAGCCAGGTGTTCGTGGGCCAGTCTATCCTGCTCTGTGCAACACGTGGCTACTGTCCTGTAAGGTCAGAGGCCTAGGTGCTAGCTCCCCCTCTAGAGCAGGAGCATGTCATTCTTGTGTGGGTGAGGGGACTGGCCAGGTGAGTTTTCTGGAGTATTTTTGGTGAAAGGAAATTGTATGGCAGACGTGGGGACCCCAGCATGTAGGGGAGCAGTATAGATCTGAGCCCAGAGATTTCAGGTCCTGCTGGACACCAGGCTCTCTGCAGTGAGGGCACGCACTTTAATGCCCATCCACAGCCTCGCTGAATGTCATGTGTTGCAGTTATGCCCAGACCTCAATCAGAGCAAGTCTCGCCTTCAGCCAGGGCTTCAAGCCTGGGCGGAGCATGCGTCGAAAGCTCTTTGCGGTGTTAAGGCTGAAATGTCACAGTCTGCTTCTGGATCTGCAGGTGAGCATGCCGCCAGCAGGTGAGCCATGCAGCCAGCTGACTTTAGAGCACAGACCTGCTGCTCAGTCTACCTGTTTTCTAGGTCCTATTTGTATTGTGTGTGTATAAGTGTGTGGATTTGCATGCACGTGTGAGTGTGAGCATGTGTGTGTGTGAATGAACGCATGGGTGTGCGTGCATATAGGTATATTTTTACATGTGTGCGTGCATGGGTGAGTGTGTATATATATATATATACATATATACACACACACACACACACACACACACACACACACATATATATATATATATATGCATGTGAGTGTGCATATATGCCCCTGTGTATTGAGGGTCCTTTTCCTTATCCCTCCTCCTGCTCCCATCCTCCTCAGCCCTCCTCCTTGTAGGGTATGGACTCAGGCCTCAGCTGGCTCAGGCTTTGGAGCCCCAGGGCCCACGATGTCATCCTGGCAGGTCTGGGCGCTCATCTCCCTGTCCCTTTCTGTCTGGCTCCCTCAGGCAGCTCCAGCAGAGTCCTGACTCCATTCCAAGCGGTGAGGGGCCACCAGTGAGGACACAATGGCCCTTTTTTAAAAACTCCATTTGAGCTGGTGATAAAGTTAAAGATAAAAATTTAACCTTCAGATGCATTTCCAACATTTCCTTTCCTTGTGGCTCCAGGTGAATGGCCTTCAGACGGTTTGCACAAACGTTTACAAGATATTCCTGCTGCAGGCCTACAGGTGGGCTCATTGGCTGCATTGAGCACCACCCCACTTGGGAGAGGGTCCTCCAACTGCGGAATACGGTCCCCTTCCAGGCCAAGGGGTGCGGCCCCACCCCGTTTCCAGACCTGGCTCCCCTCCCCCGGGAGTGGGGAAGCCTCCACCTCAGCAGGGTGAGCGTGAGGGAGGGGTCAGATTGCTGGCTGATGGACACACGTGCACGTTGTTTGGAAGGGGCCCAGGGAATGGGCCATGTGCACACCGGCCCCTGTAGTCACATATACACCTGCTCGTACACACGTTGCAGCCACGAGACTTTCCTCTGAGAAGCCTGACCTTCCTCAGGTTCCATGCCTGTGTGCTCCAGCTCCCGTTTAACCAGCACGTTCGGAAGAACCCATCGTTTTTCCTCCACGTCATCTCTGACACTGCGTCACGCTGCCACGCCCTTCTGAAAGCCAAGAATCCAGGTGGGTGCAAGGGACCCAGGGCTGGGTGGCCTGTGGTGCTGGCAAATGCCAGGTGCTCACTGCACGATTCCGGCACAGAGCTGCCTGTGCTCCATGGGCGCCTGTGACTGGCACGGCTCCGGCCTGGTGTAGCGGAGGCGGGATTCAGGGAATTGGGCTCTCAACACTTCCCGGCATGGCTTAACTTGCTAAGCACGAGCTGACCTCTCACCCGCCCTCGGCTCTGTGGGCAGACATCTGTCCTGGTTGGCACGCAAGGGGACATTGGGGAGCTGCCTTCTCCCGGGCAGGACCTCCTCCCAGGTGCTCAGGGGGTGCTTGCACAAATCTAGGCAGTAGTCAGGAGGAGGCTGGGCCCCAAGTCCCCTGCCTGTCTTGGGGGGTAGGGGTTGAGGTGAAGGGTCACCCACACCATCCACTTTGCTCGTCTCTGCTCCACAGCCTCGTCATGCACAGTCATAATCCGTCTCTGCTCCACAGCCTCGTCATGCACAGTCATAATCAGCCTCAGGTCAGGTCGTGCTGTGTCTTTGTGGTCCTTAGGTTGACAGACTCAACTTTCTGTTTATTTTTGTTTTGAGGACGTTTCTTTGAAGAAATTGAAAACATTTCAGTTGTCAGAATTCTGTGCACCATGTTGACAGGTGGCTCCTGAAACAAAGTCTCCTGTTTGGCCCCCGCTCCTGCCCTCAGCCCGGCAGGGACCGCTGGCGTCCCTGGGAGCTCAGGGCCTCTCCTGGGAGGAGCGCTGGGACACGGGCCAGTGGGAGTGTCAGCCTCTGCATGTGTTGTTCCCAGGGATGCGTCTGGGGACCAAGGGCGTTGCAGGCCCATTTCCTTCTGAAGCCGCTAGGTGGCTGTGCTTTCACGCCTTCCTGCTGAAGCTGTCTTGCCACAGCGCCACCTACAGGTGTCTCCTGGGATCACTCCAGACTGGTAAGCTCAAGGCACTCCTTATCCGCCCCTCTGTGTCTGAGTAACAGGGGTGGCGAGAACAGGAACCCCCAGGTGATAGGGTACAGGTGGCTTGAGGGTCCTGGCGCCCTCACCTGGAGGGCCTGGTACATCCAATCAGTCGCTCCACCACCAACCCTCCAAGGCCAACATTTCCCGAGGGAACTGTGTCTCCCTCTCTTCTCCAGCCCCACTGATCTGAGTGCCCTTCCTCCCACCCCTGGCCTGTGTCCTGGCTGCTGCCCCGTCTTCCATGCTCTGGCATCCTTACTGGTCCCCGACTGTTCCTCGGCCTTGCACCTGAAGCCTGACCTGCACACAGTAGGCGCTCAGGACTCAGCCGTCTCTTCCTGCCCCTCAGTGGGTCCAGGAAGCTGAGGTGAACATTCTCTGGTTTCCTCTGGGAAGAGGTCTGATCTCAATCATCTTGCAGCCCTAGCGCAGCTGTGCCGGCAGCTCCCGAGGGCGACGCTTGCCACCCTGGAGGCCGCAGCCGACCCAACTCTGACCACAGACTTCAGGACCATCTTGGACTGATGTCCAGTCAGCTTCTCACAGGCCCTCGAGCTCATTTCCAGCTGGTTCCACCCATAGGATCTGGCCTCTGTGCCTCGAGACCCCAAGACCTGTGCTGCTGGCTGGGCTGCTCCCCGAAGGGGGTCAGCTCCCAAGTCATCGAGGAAGCAGAGCCCACCCAACCTCAACCACACCCCACCCCACCCCACCACCACTTTCTAATGACAGGTTTGTTCTTCAGCTGCCCGCTGCCAGGAGGAGGCAGGTACGAGAGCCTGGTTGGGGCGTTGGCATCTGGCAGGGAAGCATCAGGGACCTTTGTTACCCTCCTTGCTGCAGGGTCAACCCTAGTTTGCAGGGATAGCTCACGTGTGGTGGGTGGGTGTGACCTCCTTCCTGCTGATCAGCTGTGACTCAAGCTGTCCACACCCACTGGAGCAGCATTCACCCAGCTGACCCCCCAGCTGCATCCAAAGTCCATATCTCGATGAACTTGCCCAGAAGCAAAGGGCCCAGTCAGCTGTTTGAGCCCATTCCCCACTGTCCACGCCCACGCTTCTGACCTGTGTGACCCCATGCCCTGCCCAGGCCTCCTGGAGCCAAGCATACAGCACCCCCCACCCACTTGCCACTTCCACTTCCGGAGTTTTCTGCTGGCCCCACTCAGCACACAGCCCGTGGCCCCTCCTACACTACCTTCTGCCTCCATGGATGGGGTGAGAGCTGTGAGAGAAGAGCCTTTGTATATTTTCTTAGTTTTTCGATATTTCTCTTATGTTTGTATTAAAATATGTACCACATAAGTACGATTATCTATATAAACACGAATATTGAGTTGATGTGCATGGCCCTGTGGTTTGGTGGGGCCTGGAGGGTCCTGGAGTGGAGATGTGGTGGGAGCGAGGGAGGTGGGTAAATGGGAAGGGCGCCCTCACAAGGCAGGTGCGGCATGCCGGTGGGCGGGAAGGCCCCAGCCCAGCACCCTCCCCTGCCGACGGCTGACTGCACTGGCTCAGCTTGGAGGTGACCTGGGAGCTCTCGAGGCAGCAGATTTCTACCTGAGCTCTGGGTTTCGGTGCTGGAACAATACCTACTTGGGGTCCTGTCCCCCGAGTTTATAGTTCAGGTCTTGGGTGGGATCTGAGAATTTGCACTTTTACCAAGTTCCTGACACTGCTGGCTGGTGGGGTGGCGGCCCCAAACAGAGCTGGTCTTGGGGCATTTCTATGCAGTGGCTCGGAGAGCAGACAGCAGCTTGCTTGGTCCATGGTCAGGAGTTGGAGGATGTGGAGGGTGAGGTTATGGGGGCATGGTGAGGCCACCTGGGAGAAATGACTGGCACCTGGAGGAACTTGCGTGGGGAGGGGCAGTCTGGGGCCTTGGTGATAGGGAGGAGGGGCTCTGGTGTCATGCCCCCCACATCCCTGATCTGATGCCCACTTCTGGGCCCACCCTGTCCTCCAGTCCCTGTGAGGAGCCCCAGTGAGCAGGGCTTGTCCTCGTAGTGGAGGTATCATCAGGAAAAGGAGCTGGAGTTAGGCCCTCATCCTTGTGGAAATTACCCCTCGGGTGGGAGACCCACAGCATGCCTGTCTGGACCTCTGTGGGGGCACGCTGTGCACCTGTGGGCCTTGTACAGACAGCTGGAAGGATTGCACCAAGAACAACAGAAAGGGGTGGCAGCTCAGAGGAGGTGTCATTGGAAAGTCCCCACCAGGGCAGTTGGCTCTGGGGTAGAGTGGTGAGCAAGTTGGAGGCTTCCTTCCGGATGTCCCTAATGGGGCCATAAAACGTGACAGGTGCCGCTGAGAGTACCTGGGAGGGGCTGCGTGCATGCTGCGGTCGAAGTTTATGGATATTGCCTTGTTTACTGCTACTGTGGCGAGCGTTCAAGTATCTGGGCGATGTGTTTATGGCTGACCCAAGTCCACCTCGTGCATCGTAAATGCCCAGGAGAAATGAGCAGCGAGAGGCTGAGCCCCACCCGGGGCGCCGGCCTGCAGTGCCCTCACTATCACAAACACGGGAGGACTGACCCTCAGCCCAGGGTGGAGGGCACTCAGGGCAGGTAGGACAGGGCCCAACCGGGCCCTGCAGGCGCCTGAGACAGCAGATTTTAACCTGAGCTCTGGGTTCCTTGGTGCTTGAACCACACATAGTTGGGGTGCTGTCCCCCCAAGTTTGTAGTTCAGCAAGTCGGGTGAAACAGGCACCTGAGCTGACCCTCGCTGGCCACCCCGGGCGTTTCGGGCATTTCCATAGCAGACTGGGTCCAGGAGGTCAGCGATGGCTCCGTTATTCGTCTTCTAGAAGCTGTAGAATCTTGCTCTCTAGGAAATACACCCCGGGGCAGCTTCACTCAGTCACGTGCATCTTTACCCAAGTGTTAAGCCCTTGAGAAGGGCCCATGCTGTGGTCAGGCTTTACTCACTGAGAATTTCTGATTTATCTCTCTTTTTTTTTTTTTTAACCACTGTGCAGTCTGTCAAACTCCAGGTGAAATGTTAAAACAATAAACACTTTAAAAGAAGGATTGCTGGTCTTGCCTAGAACTAAACCGCGTGAACAGGAGCTTGTGTGCGCCTGCATTCCACAGATGTGTGTGGAGCAAGAGGTGTGAAGCTGTGAAAAGGAGTAACCAGGATGCAAGAGTGAAAGCAGATGATGCTCCAGGGCCCCCAAATTGCTCAGTGGTTATCTCCCCAGTCCCGTGGTCGACAAACTGCGGCTCGAGAGCCACATGCGGCTCTTTGCCCCTGTGAGTGTGGCTCTTCCACAAAATATCACAGCCTGGGTGAGTCTATTTTGAAGAAGTGGCATTAGAAGAAGTATAAGTTTAAAAAATTGGGCTCTCAAAAGAAATTTCAATCATTGTACTGTTGATATTTGGCTCTGTTGACTAATGAGTTTGCCAACCACAGCCCCAGTCCCATGATCCTGCCCCTCCCTTGTCCACATGTGTGCCTGGCTGTAAAGGACACTACAGAGCAAACGGGTCCCAAACCTGGGTGGGCTCAGAATGCCCCGGTGCTGTGAGGGGCAGAATAGTGACTCCTGCCCTAATCCCAAAACCAGCGAGGAATATTAGGTAACGGATCAGCTGACTGAAATGGAAGATGATTCTGGGTTATCTAGGAGAACCAATGTGATCACAGGGTCCCTAAAAGGCTGAGAGACAGTGTGTCAGAGAGATGCCACAGGAGAAAGACTCTGGCCATTGCCGGCTTTTCGACAGAGGAAGGGGTCAGGGTCATAGCTTGGGGGCAAAGGTCAGGACTCGCCCAACTGTGGGGCTTACCACACACGTTGGGGTACCCTTGAATTCAGACCATTTCCCACACTTAGCTGCTCTTGGGCAGCAATTGTGCATGCTCTATTTGCCGGGTCTTGGGCTGGCTATGGGCACAGATGACTCCCAACAGCTGGCCTGGCCTGGGCTGTTTATAACCTGCCATAAAACTTGCTGTCTGGGGGTTTTCAGCACCCTGGACAGTGTTAACCCAACTGGGGATTGGTTTAAAATGGGGGGTCTTCATGGGGGCTGTTCCCAGCAGCATCTGGCCAAGGACATGATGGTCTCAGGGTGGCAGATCAGAAACAAGCCTGTATGTGTCAGGGCTCAGCTCCTTAGACCTGACTCCTGGCTCCGTACTGATGGAGAGGAAAGAGGGAGGGAGGGCAGATGAGGAGTTGGGGAAGAAGCACTGTGTTGAGAGCTCTAGAGCAGGCAGGTCCTGGCTGTCAGCTGCCAGAGGGCTTGGCACCTGGCGCCACCAGCACTGGCACTGGCACAGAGGAGTGACAGGGAGCAAGGGGAACAGCTGGGAGTGATATTTCTCCCCCTGCAGACAGTGGGAACCTGAATGATAATCAGCCTTCTCGTACTTTCTTGACACACATTTAAGTCTTTGAGAAAGTTTTAAAAGGACTAAAGGCTGTGTTTCTGATAACATGTCAGGAGCAGTCAGGCAGCCCCAGCTCCCAGGCAGGGCTCACTCTTCCCTCTAGGAGGGTCGGTCCTTGGGTCCTGGGGAGGCCATGGGTTCCCTGATACAATTCTTCACATGAGGCTGCCCACCTCGCCCTGGAAAAACCGTGTCCTGCTGCCTGCATGGTTCCCTTCACCTGCGTGGCCATGGCAGACCGTCCCCAGGACCTGAGTGTGCTGGGTGCAGGGGCTGCTGCAGGCAGCCTTGGAGATCAGCCCTGAAATTCCCACAACCCCTGTGGCTCAGGGCCAGTGCAAAGGTGTGGATGTGGCTTCCTCAGAAACCCCCTCCTCTGGCCTGCTTGGCAGCAGGACCTCCCTGCCATGTTGCCCATGGACTTGCCAGGTGCATCCTATGGCCACTCAGACAGTGCTGTGCAGGACCCCTGACCAGATGCCGGGCTTTCTCCCGTATGGCGAACAGCATGGACGGTGATGTCTAAGCTGGGCTGCGTGCTGAGAGGGTCGGAGGCGTGAGAGTGTGTGGAAGTAACAACCATAGGGTCGGGGTTGGTGAGTGTAATGGGGTCAGGTGATCTGTGAGCGAGGGCGTACAGGCCGCCCCCCCCCCCCCCCCCCCCCCCGCCCTCAGCGGACCTCGCTGTCGGAGACCTCGCTGACCTGCAGCTTCAGGCGTATGTTCTGCTGCACATTCTCCTGCTTCTGTCTGCGCCAGATGGGCAGCTGGGCCAGCGCAACTCCTGGGACTAACAGTGCGGGCAAGAAGGACAGGAGCCCGCAGATGGCCTGCACCCAGCCTGGGTAGGACTTCTCCTGCCGCGAGGGAAACTGCTTCTGCAGAGACAGGAGGCCACAGGGTGAGTGTCCGAGAGAGAGGGCAGCATGTCCCCCCTCCCCAGACCCACCACCTGGACAGAGCGAGGCTGCCCCTCAGCCAAGTGATTGTGGTGTGTGGGCAGCTTCACCCCATCTCTTCCTGAAATGAAGCAGCAGGTTGGTTCATTCCTGGCGGATGAATGGAAAAGGCACAGGGCCAGGGGCTGCTCCCTGAGCAGTGAGGGCACAGGGGGCTGAAGGCTTAGGACAGGACATGGGCCGAGCCTCCCGTGGGGGCTGGGCTCTGAGAGACAGGCTGGGAACCTAAGGGGCTTTGTTCTGAAAAGAGCCACCCTGTCCACCCCGAGGGAACCCACAGTCTCCAGGTTGCCTCGGCCTGACCCACGGGGCATCCTGAGGCCCTCTGACCCCCTCTGTCCCCGCTGTTGGGGAACGAGACAACACACCAACTTCAGGTCCTATTTTTGAGGTTCACAAGGCACTACTGTATGAATCTAAAAGGATAATATTCACAAGAATTCTCTTTCTCCTCCTCCTGCCCATGGTGTCTTGGGCAGCTCCCCTTTCCAAAGGGGAATTTGGACGGAATTACTTCCATGCTCCCACAAGGGACACAGTGAGGTTCAGACAGCTAGATGGGGTGGCAGGTCAGCCAGGCCACAGGGCTCAGCCCTCAGACAGGGCTTGGTGGCAGTTCAGTGATGTGTGTGCTACATGCACCTTCTCTCATCTCAGACTAGGAGTGGGCAGCGTGAGGAGCTTGTCCCCACACACCTGGAAAGGGCGGCTGGAGGCTATACCTCTACGTGTGGAACTATAGGGAGGGACCTGTGATGTCACCAGAGTCTGGAAACTGCTTATCCTCCTGCTACTGGCTGAGGTTGTCCGGGTTTCCCGAGTCACCTATGATGCTCCAGGGCACTCTAGGGCAGTGTTTCCCAAACTTTTGACATATGTGTACCCCTTCTGTAATTTTTGTAATGCTGAGTACCCCTCATACTCATGATAACATAGAATTAGGTGCAGCTAAGCACGGTGCAGTGCATATCCCCACCAAACTCCGGTGCAACGCGTACCCCCACCAAACTCTTCCCGTACCCCTGGGGGTACGCGTACCACACTTTGGGAAACACTGCTCTAGGAGGGTCTCCTGACCTCGGATAGCATAGCAAAGACAGCTCACTTGGTCACTTAAAATACTTGTCCACCATGAATGTCATCTGGGTCTGAGAGCACCAGAGCCGGGCCAGGCCAGGCCCGAGGCAGTCCCAGGGCCCCTGGGTCCCCGGGTCCCCATATGAAGGACCTACGTATTGGGGGTTCCAGGCCTTGTAGCTCAGCGTTGTCCAGACCAGGAAGACAATATAAGCCACGAAGATGGTCAGCAGCAGCAGGGGGCTGATGACCTTCCAGGTCACCCGCCAGTAGAGGCCAGGCCGCCTCTCAGTCATCCATTCAATGTCATCACAGAACCTGCCAGAGACATTGGGTTTAGGTCCCCACACCGGGCCCCATGTCTGCAAGCCCACATGCTCAGCCAGTAGCTTCATCCAGTGTCACCAAGATGTGGTCTGTAGGGCTGTCCCCCACTCCACACCGTCCTTTGTCCCCATGCCTTCCTGAGTAGCCACCAGATGGGCAGCCCTCTCAGATCCTGATGAGGACTCAGTTCCTGTCCGTAAGTGGAAATGTCCCAAGTGAGCAGGTCAGTCCAGCCCCAGCCTGGGCCCTGAATGAGGCTCATCTGGGAAGGAACTGTGGGTTCCACCCCTGGCAGGGCTCAGCTGCTGGATGAGAAGCAGCAAAGCCCCTGCCAGCCCAGCTGTGGGAAGGAAGCAGGTGCCTGACCTGGTGCCCTCAGTGCCCAAGCTAGAGGACGGGACCTGGACACCATTGACCCAGAATATAAAGCAGGTGCATCTAGGAGCCAATAGAAAGGGCAGGACCCCCCAAGGCCCTCCCTCTGCTTGCTCCCTCCAGTCCAGCTCCACTCCAGGTGTTTCCCGAGATCCCACAGCTGGCTGAAGTCCAGGGCTCACTGTTCATCCCACATTACCAGGTCAGGCCCCGCCAGACAGCTACCTCTCACTTGCTCCTCTCCAGGTGAGCAGTGTCTCACCCTAGGACAAGCATGCTGGCCCCTGAGCAGGGGGGAAGGCCCTGGATTTGTGACTTCCAGGATGCTTTGGAACCAAGGACCGAGAACACAACCTCTGGGGCCACTTCGGCAAGGCTGTGGTCAGGGGTGGCAGGTGTGAGTGAAGATGTGAGTGACAGGTACGCAGCAGGCCTGAGCCAGGTGGAGATGGCAGGACAGGTGCTAAGCCTTCTTGGAGGCCTCCAGGAGGGCATCTGGACCTCCTGTGCCCTAGTGTCTACTTATCCTTGTACTTGAGGAGTCTGCCCCCTGTAGCTGGAAACTAGCCATTTTGTCTCCACAGTCTGGGAGGCTGGCATAGCCAGATGGGTGGGTCCTGTGGGGGCTTCTGTGGATATCTGGGAGTCACCCTTGGGAGGGGTCTCAGCTGATTCTGTCTCATCCCTGTAGCTGCCCTGGAGCCTGGTAGCCACGATGCCCAGACTTTGTATATGAGGTATGCTGGGGGCAGAGGGGTAGGACCCCAGCCCCCGCTGACGCCAAAGGAAGTGGAACTCACCGTTCCATCCCGTAAA